AATTTTCTATCCATTTTAAACTTAAAATTAATTCTCAATTTAAGCTCCTTCTTCTATTGACTCTACAAAAATTGGAATTTTAGTAGAAGTTCTTGATAATGGGGGATCAATAACTCATAAATTTGAAAAAATTTCAATTAAACCTGCAAAAATAAATTGTTTATCAATACAATTTAAAAATTTAACTTTATAAAACAAAATAACTCTGCTATTTGAAGCAATGAATCAAAAATGCGATGAGCTTCATTAATAAATTTATCTTGATTTGATCAAATCTTAAATTTTGCCAGAAAAGAATGCGAATATCCTGAAATTTTAAGCTAATAAATTATTTTAATAGTACTTAATCTTTTCAGAAGAAATTAAACCTAAAAATCGATTATTGAATGAAGAAATTCAAAAAAAATGTTTAGATTTAAATTCAAACCATTTATTTATTACTTAAAATACCACTTAATCTGAAGTAAATTTAACTGAAAAGATAGAAAATTTCAAAAAAAATAATGAAGATTTTAATAGAATTTTAAAATATTTTATTAAAATGAAAAAATAATGCGAATAGGAGCTAGAATAAAATTTATACATTTGGAATGAATAAATCTTTTAATAATATTAAAATTCGTAAGATTGCTTAAGAAGTTTAATATACTATCTTGATGATATCTATTCTGATTTTTCATTAATAAATATAAAAAATGAAACTATAGATCAAATTATTGAGGAGTTGTTAAAAGTTTTTGATATAATTGCAGAAGAAACCCAAAATATTATATTAGTAAACGAAAAGCCTTTAGTTATTAAAGGAATTGAAATTATTTGGAAAATCAAAAGAAGAACTAAATAATTATTTAATCAATAATTTAATATCCCATAAACTTAAGAAGATTACCTTATTGATTTTATTCAATTTGAATATACTTATTTTTAAACAAACCCTTTAAGATTTAACTTGAATCTGGAAGAAATACTCAAAATATATTTTAATGACCAAACATTACAAATATCCACAGATAATTACTATTAAATTAAGTTGAAAAACTTTTATAATAGAAGATTTTAAGAATATGAAAATTTTTCATCTATTTATGACACACAATTTGGATCCTATTAAGTGTGCTAAAATACTTCATAATTCTTATCTGAATATGAAATATATTGTGTAATTAGAACAATAACTGGAAAATTTTATTAGTGTAATTTGAATAGAGTATAAAATAACAATACAATTGAGTTACATTGTGAATGTGATAAGTTTGGTGAGATTTTCCTAACAACCTCTACGAAATTAATTGTAAATGCAAGCGAATCTCCTAAATAAATATATAATCTTGAATTAGCTTCCAAATCTGAAGACATTTTACCTTTATAACTTAGTGCATGTTTTTTTACATTAATATTTTTGAGCATTTTTATTTTTTAATTATATAAAGATAAAAAAGTCTAATAAGAGAGGTTTGATACAGAATAAAGTAATTCGAGCCCACCAATCATATAAGAAAAAAATAGTCGAATATATCATGGTACTTTTAAAGTTTATATAGAAAAATTTAAGGTAACACTTAATTTTTATATTAGCAAATCCATTAAACTATTTCATTATTTTATTATAAAGACAAGAATATTGAATTTAGTTATAGAATTTTAGAAGTATTCTCTTAATTCAATTTATAATTAACTTTAACAATTCTTGAATGTTATTTTTTAAATACTTAAATTCTTTTGATTTGTGTTTTCATAATCATCAACCCTTTAATCATTTTGTTGATAAGAATACTTTATAAAATAATTGAAGCAATATATAGGTTCAAAAGAATAGCTGCTTTTATTAGCCACCTTCTAAATATGATATTATTGATGTCCCCAAACCTTATCATTTATATTTTTTACATAACAAAGTATCTATTAACCTATCATAGAATTTCAATGCAATCAGAATAATATATATTTGCCATTATATATTTAGGAAGTATTCTGATTTCACAAATCCTAATAGAACCGCTTACAGTATTTGGAAGAATATTAATTTATAGATTAATAGCTAAAAGTCTGAAAAACATGGATTTAAATCCTGTGTTTCATTTAATGCATTTTTTTGTTATGCATAGCAGTTTAGAAGAAATATTTGAAGAATTCACAAAAATTTGATAATAAAAACATTCAAATATTAATATTAATTTCATTTTCTATTTTATTCATTTTTACTTATATTGCTATATTAATATAGATTTTGCTCATTAGAATTTTCTATTATTAAAAAATATCTATTGGCTTAGCTATTGATTTTTGATATCTCAGAAGTTTGAAATATTAATTTTAAGTGTATCATCATAAAAGTTAAATTGAAAAGAGAATCTTCAATCATTATGATGATGCTTAAAATTTCCTATTCATATACATATATAAAATGGCAAATGAAGATGTTGTTGTTAAAAACGATGAATTAAAAATATCATCCTCCAATTTTTTTTGAAACTCATTTAGTTTTGGAGGATTGGATCTAAAAAGTTTAAGTTTTTTTTTAAAATGGTCCCAATATATAAATTAAATATATATAATAAGATTTTATTTTTAGATCTGGTTACTATAAATTAAAATTTGGAATTTATCTGATGGAAGCAGGATCATATATTAAACATCATTGTCAAGCTACTGTATAAAACTATTTCTGAGTCAGAAACTCAATTTAATAATAACCAAAGCCAGAGAATTGTTTGTAATTCATTTTTCAGGATGAATCATTAGAACGTAAACTAAATTAAAAATGACACCATTCAATAGCCAAAACTAATCAACTTCACATGATCTTTCTACAATAAACAAGAGAGGAAATATTTTAGAAGTCACGAGTTTTACAATTACATTGTTATAATTATGGAAACAAAATTTTTGATTTCAGATACAAAAAAAGAACCACTAATTTAATAACTAGACAAAAATTGCATCATAAATTATTGGCCTAAATTCAGTTTAACCCTAATACTTTTGATTTGAAAATCTTAAAGCTAGTTATTGCTTTAAAGCTTCTATTTTTTAAACCTTAT